GTCTCCAGGCTCGTCAGGCGGGCCTCCTCCACCGACATTAGCTTTCTTCGGACTCGGCCGAAGGTTCCCCTTGGCTTCATCTCCCTTTGGAGGACCGTTACCACCTTCTGGCTGAGGCGGTGGGGGATCACCTCCGGGCGCTCCATTTGGAGCCTTACGGGTCTGATCACTGGTTCCCAGTGGCAGCGGTGGAATCACACCTTCGCCTGACCTCATGGAGTTCAATGGTGAACCAAAAAGGGATTCCTCATTTGGTTCCTTCTGAACCGGATTGTCCTTTGGTTCTTTTTTGACGGTTTCCCTAAGCATAGCCGGGTTGGGGATGGATGGAGAGTAGTCTCGGGTTTGAAGTTCATCGTTGCCCCCTGCGGGAATCATTGGAAGACCCCTGGGACCCAGAACGGCTGGACCTTCCGGTGCGCGAACGGCGGACCAAGAACTGAACAGGTCGTTCTGGTGTCTGGCATCTCGGAGAGCACTCAGTTGGCTTTGAAGATCAGTTTGCTTCTTCATGGACTGTCTCAACTCCAATTGAAGGCTTTCCGTTTGCCGATTCTGGCGCTCTACATGGTTATTCAATGATTCAATGGTTGCCATGCACTTCTCAATTGCATGATCACTACGAATACGTGCATCTAACATCTGACTCTCATGGTGTTGTTTCATGGACCTAAGCTCGGCCGCAGAAGCCTCGGCGTAAGCCTCATAACCTCTCTGGGCAGCTTCAACAAAAGCGGTGGCTTCCTGTTTGACGACCGTGTTCTCATGAAACATTTGCTCAGCTTCGTTCATAAACCTTAATCCCTGCATACGCATCTCGTCACGCTGGGCGCTCACTATGTTGAGCTGTTCACCTTGAATGTCCATGGCATGCCGGTGTCTCTCTTCGGCAACAGCCTCGATCAATCTAGCATCAGTTGTCGGGGCTTGGTGAACATGCAAGTGCTGATTCAACACATTAGTATTACTCAGGTTGACCGGCACAGCGTTCCCGCTGGCACTCATGGAGGGAGGGTCGTAACGGGCAATGTCAAGCCCTAAAGGCGTGTCCAAAAACCCATACCCTTCCGGCACGAGCGCCGTGGAACTAGCAACCTCAGGCGTTGCTTCACGTGCGGTCATATTGTCCGGGTCCGACGATAAATCGATAATCGACGGATACCTCTGTCCAGCCATGGCGTGGGGCACGTGGAACGAGCGAGAGAACTGTGTGAGACCTACGGCTGATAACCTATTTCACACAGGAAACAGCCTATAAGAGGCCCTTTTTCCTTGAGCCAATACCACGAGGTAGGGTACATGTGTATGTACAACACTAGTGAGAAACATCCCCGAATGGGGTACGCTTTTGAGTGGGACGGGGTGCCCTTTTTCGTCTTGATGTCGAGGCGTTGTGGAGGTGAAAAAGGGCACGCCTGTAGTCCGGGAAAGCTTTCGTGATAATATACTACAACTTATACTACAGTATATAATATACCATATGATGTGGACACTCGCGTCCTTCATCCTTTCAAACATAGTTTTCCAGAATGGTGATCATGTATGTTACGGCAATTTGAGTCGTGGTACAGATTGCACACAGCAACTATCAGCAACCGACCCAGTCAATCCCAGTCACATGGCATCACTGCTCCAAAATAACTTCATCTGAGTTGATCGAATCATCTCTATGACTGTTTGACCGGTGGTTTTTGACTCGCATGAGCATGTCTGACAATGTGGCAAAACCTGCTGGCCTCCTTCTCCATTGCAACTCCAATCTTCATTCGGTCTTCCCCACCTCGCTCACGTGGAAGGCTGCCAACTGTGAATCACACCCAAATTTGAACCAAGACACTGAATGTTGATGTATGTTGTACATTGAACAGTGAAGACAAAGCTGAAGTGCGTGCTGCATGTGGCTTTCAACCAAAGTCTCCTCATTATATATTTTTTATATGGATGGGGAGCTCCTGAGGGATTGGCCCAGGTTTAGCTCCACCCAAGTAGCTTTCCTGGGATGGCAAACACGCAAGAGAAGCTTCGCACCAAATCTTCCAATTGTCAGTGTGGAATCCAAGTGTTGTTAGCCAACTGCCACGTGTTTTTAATGCCGTCAGCAGCGAGACCAGTGCACGGCGCTCTGCATGCCTGGAGCGGTCATGTTCAACAACAACAGGGGCCAGCTCATCGCAAAGGCCCGTGGCTCCATAAGGCACCACCGCGCTTTGAAGATCTCCAAAGATTGCGGATCTCCAGGCCAACAACTGTTGAGCAAAGGGTGGAAGTTCTCCGTTGCCATTCCTCCTCTCAAACGGCATAAAGGTCGTGACAGTTGCAGACCTCGCACAGTACCGTGCCCAGCCTACCCAGCGAAACACACTCCGCCCAGCACACCCACAGGTGCTCTTCAAGGCTTCCTCTGTTCCATGACGGCCCAAGCCGAAGATCTGGTCAACATCGAACTTGGAGCTCAAAGAGATGGGCAGCCGACGATGCAAGGATCGGAAGGCCTTGGCGGAAGCCAAGTCACAAGCATCTAGAAGCTCTAAGGTCTCAATGGCAGAGTTCATCAGCAGGAAGGAGGAGAAGCGCCCCACTCGCTCCACATCGTTTGGCCTTCGGCTTTGAAGGTCCAGCTGGACCATTGACGCCAAGCGACCCAAGACCCACCGCGCTGAGTGAGCACCTGCTTGGCTGAGAACAGTGGCGACCTGGCGGAGGCTCACCAAGTTTGGAGCAAGCCTTTGCTCTGTCCCGCACGCTTTTCTCGGATTCTTTGTGGTACTCTCAGCTTCACCATCCATCTGCTCAAGCAGCAGCAATGCTTCTTGCCACTGAGCACAAGAGAGCTCGATATTCAAAATGATCAAATTACGAGACAGGCGCAATTCTTTCATTTCCTCCAAGAACACTGAGAGCAAGGACTCTGGTGCTGTTCTGCAGGCACTGCACATAGCTCCATAAGCAACAACGTTGGGCTTGACATTGCGAGCTTGGAATTCACGCCAAACATATACAGAATCTTCCCAACGCTCAGTTCTTCCGCACGCGCTGATACATGTGGAGCAGCTGAAAGCATCCGGCTGTATTGACCTCATCTTGTGCATCAAAGACAAAACCATATCCCAGCGTAGTCGATGTTCACAAGCCTTGGCTGCAGAATTCAAGGCAGTTCGATATTGGATCAGGTCGAAGCTCCCTTGCGCATCTCGTTGCACCTTGTCCTCTGGCCCTTGGACATGTCGCAGCAGCTCAAAGGAGTGGAGCCACTGGTGGCCATAAGCACAAGCGCCGATGCCTGCATTCCACGAAATGTCGCTGAGCTCCACAGCCAATCTTGAACCCTGCGACAGAACTTCAAGACCCAGTTGCCAATGTCGTCGACACGCACTCAACGTTGTGCCAAGTCCCTTGATATCTGCCTGCAAGCCACGATGCCCGTGGACCATAATGTCCAACATCTGCAGCACAAGTGTCCATTGACCTGCTCGTTCGCATTGGGATTGAACAGCTCCGAAGCGCGCCACGTTGGGCCGCCGTGTGTCTAAGCTTCGAAGGGCCTCTGCCCAGCTTGCACCAACCCTGGACACACACATCACTTGCCATAGCAACGGCAGCTGAAACCTTGCAGACACCCCTCTTCAGCCCAGACCGAACGGAATCTTGATCCGAAAGGATTTGCCCCGGTTTGACCAAGCCATGGCACCCCCGGGATGCTGCTCAGACCCTCAAATCTCCAACGTGAGACAAACAAGACAAGTCGGGTGGTCCTGAGCTGTGACGTCAGACTTTGGAAGTTGCCAGCTCCTCATGTGGGTGCAGCAGACTTCAGAAAAAAGGGAAGAAGACTGAGACGAGTCTGTTCCAATGAAAAGTTTACGGAATGGCTCATGTTCATTCATTTCTTGATGCTTGCTTCCTTAGTTGTCTTGAATTATTATGTGTTCGAATGATCCAATGAAACAAGTCTGTTGCTGGCTTCAAGTGTTTTTGTCTATTAATCATTCGTCATCGAAACATCCTGCGCCTGTGCCGAAGTCCCGCGCGAACTTGGCCTGAGTTCCACGCCGTCCCTCTTGCCACAAAGAATTCTCCGAGGCTCCAACGAACTCCTCGGTGGAAGCTTCATCAGCCTTCACCTGTTGCAAAGCTCTTCCACAAAATTGGTATACCCGGTATGGCGAAAGACTAGGGACCCAGGGAACTGCAGCCTTGACAGGATCGGTTTCCCTTAGCTATGTGGAGGCCATTGCCATAGTCATACACTGTAGGGTCTGTAGATTCTGCTACGGAAAAGAGTTTGATTGGCACAGAACGGATGAAACACAAAAGAAACGCTGTGGGAGCACATCAAAAATGTGTTGTCAAGCGACAAGTTCGGGCCTGCCGCCAACTCGTTGAAAGCAGCCGCCGTATGAAGCTTTGCAATTCATCCTCATGCCAAAATCAAACTATCCACAAACAACCTCTCTCGCACCAGAAACAATAAGACCAAATAAGGGAACGTGTTTTCATCGTCCTGAGGTCCTGAGATGCTCATTTTCAAGGCCCCCCAATCGCAGCCCATTTGAGGATCCCATCTGTCCCGTCCTGGCTCTGCAAAGCCAGCACCATTTGCAGCCCACTGTCGCATAGGTCTGCAGAGGTCCCATTCACTCCTGGAGCACCGCTAAGTGATACGGATTCAAAAATAAAGTAAGCATCTAAGCGTCTGCTCTGCTGTTGGTATGAACAAGCTGGTAGTGACTGCCCACGAAGCAGTGGTGGACAATGATCCAACACAACTCCAATTGGGAGAATAGAAGTCCGGATGGCAAAGCTACAAAGGGGCCGCTCACTCACCCACACCTGAACGTGCCAGCAGCTCTGGGACCTGCTCTTCCTGTGGCTGTTGGGCCACCTTGTCGTGTCACAAAAGGTCACACTGCTTTGTTGAAACTTGTTGATTAATAAATCTCCCTACCGGGATAGTCAAACATCTTACCTTTGGGAGGCTCAAGTAATCCGCCGACCCCTGCCTAGCTGACGCCTAGGCTAAGCGGGGCAGCGCCTGGGACAGCGTAGCGAGAAGCGATTGCCACCAGCCTGCTCTGGCCCCTCTTGTCCCCGTCATTAAAGAACTCCTACCTGCCCAAGGTAGATCTCCGGACCTGTTTCTTGCAGCTGCCTATCTATGGGCTTCCGATTGAAACCTCCAGGGCCAGGGTGCTTCGCTGTGGCGAAGGCGAGGTTTTGGCACGGTCCATGCAGCCTCTGGACCTGCTGATTGCAGCTACCTGGGGTTTGTCCTGGAACATGGGTGAATCTGGCTTTTCTCTCAGCTTTCTGAAATGTGGCATGTTGTTGCGCCGGTGTCTTTCTCTTACTTGCTCTAAATAGAGGTCTGCGGCCCCCGGGCGTCGCCGGGCATTAGTCCATTCTATCCGGCGATGCCGTTCCAGCACCCCTATCAAGCTAGCTTGCTATACGAAGATGCGCTCCATGCCGCCGACCCCTTTTCTAGCATCACCAGGGCTCATGAGGCTTCGTCAAAAAGCATCAAAAACATGGGAAAATGATCGAAAATGGTCACTGTAAAGCTTATAGCTTCAAAACCTTTAGAACATAAACCTATAAAAATGGATGCAAATTTGGAGGAGGGATTTTGGTCGAGCATCATTAGCATCACCAACGTTTATGAACAATGCTGCTCGTACTCTGGGATGCCAATTGTGCTCGACACAATTGCTGCCTCAAAACTTCCTCTAAAAAGATTTGCGTCTTTCCTGCTCAGACTGGGCTTATATGTTTTCTTCTACTAGGGTGAGCCCGCGCCCGCGCCCGGAGTGTGGGCGTGCTCCCGCGTGCGCGGGCGGGCTGGCGGGCGGGCGGGAGGGCGAGCGCGCGAGTGTGCGTGCGCGTGCGGGTGCGGGTGTGGGTGTGCGTAGGTGTGTCCGAAGTTGAGTTCGCCAGGCTTTTTGTAGATGGGGTGTGTCGAGACCCTGCGCATACGCGCAGTCCCCCCAAGGGCATCGCCGGTTGGCGAAGCCTGTCAGTTAGCAGTCAACAGTATTTTGGAGACACGCCCACTTCCAACTAGCGAAGCTGGGAATCGCTGCAAAACAGGCCCTGCCATACCCTGCCCATGATCTTAAGCGTTTCGCCCGTTCATTGGCCCAAAAGCTCAGATCCGTGCGGATAAGTCTAAGCTTATCCTGCAAACAGCCATAGGTTCTGAAGTGAGGGGAACACTGCTCAAAACGCCGCTCAAGGCATGCAACTCTGTTCAAACGAGCCAGTACTACAAGAGCTCGCCCACGTGGTCTTCTAAGGGCATGGATGGAGGCCTCCATGGAATATGAGCCACCAAACTGGATTCGCAAAAGACCATGCGATCAGAGAAAACTTGAGGCCGAGGGTAGGTGACGAAAGCTAGCAGGGATGCATCCGTGTCAGTGGAGGCGAAGCATACAGCGCCGTCCAGTGACAAAGGACTGGTGGGACAGCTGAGTGAGGCAGATCTTTTTTCATATGCACGGGGCTGTTGGAGGGATGGTTGACACGGTCTCGCTCCTGAGGTAGAACGTTGTGAACATGTAAGACACACGAACAGCAATGACACAGCCAACCTTAGCTTGTGAATCTGTTGAATCTGTTGCATCGTATCCCAAAACCTCCACGGACGAGTTGAACCAAAGTGGATGCCATAAGAGGAGGTGTCCAAGAGGTGTCCCAGAGGCGTCCCTGGGGTTGAACCCGCGGGGGGGGGGGGGGGGGGGGGGGGCCCCCTCTACATATGAAGTTTTCACGTGATGCGGCGATCTCGAGGATTCCAGCCCCTCACTTGCTAAAGCAAGGAAAACTCCAGCTAGCTGGTGCTAGCTTTCGTGATAATGCCTAGCACGGAAATGTAGCCTTTCTCAAACAAGAACTTGTTCTGTGACGACTCCGCCCATCTGACTTGATGATATCTTTGCTACCTCTGCAATCTCTCGGTTTTCAGCTGAGCTCCGGTCATTCCACCAAGGCTTTCCAAGTACACGGCCCTTGCGGTAATGTCCTGAGGCTGAGTCTCTTTTACACGTCGAGGCACTACTTCTTTCGCTCGCGAAAAGAAGCGTCGCGCACTCGTGTGTCAGAATGAGAGCAGCATTCACTCTGGGGAGTCACCCGGGGCTCTCCTGCGCATGACCCTCGAGTTCCTCCCGGTCCGCCTCAGGGCAAACCTCAGCTGCCTCGCAAGAAGGATGGCCAAGTCCTAGCCTCCCTGGTCATCTGTTCGTTGCAATTTCTTGCTGACATGCATGACATGAAATCAGTGATACTCGGATACTCTGCCTCTTTGAATTTTGATGCTGCCCTCGCATGGTGAAGAGCAGCCTGCGCAGACTGGCCTTGGCCTCACACGTTTACATATCGTCCCACATTGTGCGAAGGGTATGTTTGAGGTCCTGGCGGTCTAAATCGGCCGCTTTCTCCTAGCGGAGGCGCAGTCTACGCCAGCAAAGTCTACTTCTCCACATACAAACAGCCTGGCAAGACTGCTCTCTCCCCCTCCCAACCAAGAACATCTTCTGCCAGATCAAGCAACGAACCACCACTCATCAAGTGTTAGGAGTAGCACGGAGTATTGTGGAAAACCATGGAATGCCAATTGAATACGCTGATTCCGTTCAAAGCCCTGGCGTCCTCTGCTCGAAGCCCTTCGACCACCAGCCAGGCACAGCGCCCTCACTCACATGCCAAGTTTGTCTAGTGTTCTTTCCCTGCTACCCCGGCTGTCCCACTGTCCCACTTACTTTCCTGCTTGTAAAGTGAGGCTGCACCCCGGCAAGTCTGTGCACTTGCCGCTGTGCGACAAAATAAAACTATATCTAAAAAAACAACCTCTTGACGCTCCGTCTCATCTCTCTTCGGTCTCCATCCCATCATCTCTCCATCTCTCAGCCTTCGGGCCGTTGGGAGGCCATGTCCAGTTGCTGGTCGGGTCACGATGACAACTGTTGAGTGGACTGTATACTTGCGACTTCCAGAAAATCTTTCCAGAAGCTATCCTTCCAATACTGGGAACGTACTTGTCCACGTGGTTGATGGAATGTGTAGTGACAGGCGAACGGCCGACACGAGTCAACAAACCGCACCTGCATGTTTCCTTGAGCCAAACGTAAGGTAAGTATGACATGTATTAGACACACTAGCGTGAAACAACACCCCCTGCTGAACGAAAATGGGAGGAGTGAAGTTATGTACAGTGCATGAATTAAAGGACCTACGAAGGTATCCGGTCCCCCGGTACGTGCAACGCATCGAGCCGGATCGCGCCTTGAGATGGAGAGGATTTTGACCTCAAGGACGTATCGATCAAAGCACTGTCATGCTTTGATGCTAGTGTTGAACATGTCTGAAATTGATGCACGCAGTCAAGCTCAATGCACAGCGTCGTAATGGACTCTTTTTCGGCGCAACGGAACAGGAAGCGCAATGCCAACCTTTTAGAAAGCAGGAACAAAGCCATCAAGGCACACGCTCCCGCGTGGCGACAGAGCACAACAAAAGAATGTGCACATCTGGATGCAAGGATTTGGAGTCAAGTACTTCGACTTAAACTCAAACGAATTAGCTGTTGGTTTCAGGCAACCGGTCCCCCGGTGCGTCACAGAAACGGTCATCTAGGCAACCGCTTCCGCGGTGCGATGAGGGAATACACAGCGCTCTACGACAGCCATGTCACCCGTGAATTTCATTCTCTTCTCGACAGGCAACGGCTCCCGCCGTGCGATGTGTCTACCACCTGCGCTGACTCCACCAGTCATTTCCTCGCCAGTCGCTGCCACGACCACGGTCATCTTCCCACCAGTCACGCGAGGATGACCACCACGAGGAGGAGGATGAAGAGTGCTGCCAATCCTGTGCAGAATCACTCCATGCAGCTCCCCGCCAACGATGCTCTGCACTCTCGGCCTGAGACCGTGTCGCTCTTGCCAAAGACTGTCCTGCCCCCGGTGCAGCCTTGGCTTTCGGGATCACGAGCGCTCTGGTCTCCTTGACAAGGTTGATGTTAAGGCCGGGGATGAACTGAGCATCTTCTGCCACGAACACAAGAAGTTCATCAAGGACGTCGTCTGGATCATCCTTCTCGCAGCGCCATTCGCCACCAAACCCAAGAATGGCAGGGCGTTTCGGTCCTTGGCAGTAATCTGCAGCGAAGGTTTCCGGCCGATGGAGGCGATTCTTCCAGTAAACAAAGAAGTCCTCGCTGATGTCGGCATCATCGCCCTTGGCAATCTCATTCATAAAGATGATCTTGCCGGAGTACCTGTGGCCGATTCCCTGAGCGATCATTTCACGCGTCCTTGGAGGATCGGGAATGACAGCATCGGAGAGGCGCTCGAGGAACTGGATGCAGATGGGCGATAAGTCCTGAGCTGCACAGTTGAATGCGTAAAAAGCATCAACAAGCTGCCGTTGCGAAACCGTCAGGCACATCTTCTCCGCCTTCTGGACATGGCTCTTGGCATTCGCCTTCAAGACGTTGATGCCAGATCGCGATGCACGTGGTTTCTCCTGGCCAGGCGTCCCCGCCGGCATCTTCCTCAATCCAGATCCTTGCAGCCTGTCGTCCGGAACCATGTCCATGGTGACTTCAACTCCAAGGTCTGATGCAATCTCCTCGATCCGGATGAGCTGAGCTGCTTTACACAGATCGGATGCATTGCTGAGGAATGCGCCGCAATTGGTGCAGGACATTGTGCCACGAGTGTATGTCTGGGTGCAAGTTGGGCACTGATCTTCAGGCATCTGAATCCCTTCAACGACCATCCAACGGGTGTTGCCATAACCCTCAGTGTCAGGATGAAACTTGCGCCAATCAAACCGAGGACGGTTGTAGTTGGGCAGCATCTCCTCAGGCGACACTTTGTTCTTGTAGGCGTTGAAGTTGGGCCTGCAAACAACATACGTGACCTCATAGACCTCCAGATCGGGGTTATTCTTCCCTGAGATCATTTGGTCCTTCGCGTCACTGAGCTGAGACAACTTGCCGTAGACGAACGGTGAATAGGTGTCCACTTTGCTACACCACCTCTCATAGTCTCCAAGAACATGAGTGGTGTACTTCTCGAATGGACTCTTCACCATGTCATCATCATCGGCATCTGGTCCCCCAGTGCGCGCAGCATGGAATGCCTTGGTCCGGCCAGTGATAATTCCCAGCAAATGGGCGTACACATGATTGGCGAAAGAATAGCACTTGGCTTCCATGTCGTACACATAGATCACATTTCTGTTCGCGATCCAATCTGGACACAAGATTGTTCCTGCCGTGGTTTCAATCAGTCGGTGTCCGTTCAGCACCATCAGCTGGAGATCCAATGCCACGCAGGTAGGGCGTGTGGCTGCCATAGCGGCATAGTCGGTTCCAGAGATAGTCCAGGATCTCTTTGGTGAGGAACGTGAATGGGGCACCAGTGCGATTGCCACCAGGGATGAGGCCCATATTGACAACGTCGAGAAAGGCTGCTCGATGGGTATAGTGATACAGAATGGTCGGAGCCACATCTGTCACTTTCCCCAACGCACCACAAGGAACCCTCGGAAACTTGCTGGCCTGGTATTCAGCAGCAGTGTACTCCTCGTCAAGGTTGATGAAGCGTTCATGTTCAGGCAAAGCGTCTTGAACATTGTTGTTTGACCACTCATTGTGGTTTTGCATCGCCTTGATTCTGAGTGGAGTATACTGGTACTTCCCGCCGACCAAAGTCCCCTTTCGCGCAATCTTCACCTCAAGCATGAACCGGTGATTGGACGTAATGACTCGAAGGAGCTCATCGTTGGTCAGGTTCACATCATACTTGCGTTTGAGTTTCATGAAACTGTAGACCTTTCCGTAGTCCATCCACAGGCCCTTGTCGAAGCTGGGTGGTTGCACCTTATGCCAGGTCTACTTGCTGTGTTCCCACCCACAAAGGAGACCGGAAACACGTCGAGAGATCCAGACCTGCTTCGAGTTCAACTGTGGCAAGTTGGAGGCGCCAGGAACCGATCTCGATTGCAGTGCCACTGTCTCGTTCTCCCCTAGTGGCGAAGGTACGGATGGCACCGGAGGCGCACGAGGCATTGCCTTGGCCTTGACGGCAGGCTTTGCTGTAGGTGTCGTATCCGAGGCCACAGCTCCCGCCGGGCGTTTCGGTACCTTGGGCTGAGTTGCTTCAGTTGACTTCATCTCAACGTCGGCCTCAGCTCCCGCCGGGCGTGCTTTCGGCTCGGTTGCGCCAGATTTCGGCGTCTTCTCAACGGTTGCATCTGGTAACTTGGGCGCCGGTGTCTTTCCCGGCGCCTTCGCCTTTGGGATCTTCTGCTGCGGAGCCTTGTTCGCCAGGTCAGGTTCATTCCCCAAGGTGGTAACCTCGCGAAACTTCCTGAGGGCCTCGCCAATGAGCTGAGGGATGTCCTCTTCGGCCATGTAGATGCGAATGAGGTCACTCTCATCATCCTTCTTTCTCAGCTGGCAGGTCACACCAGCAACCTGGCAAGACTCAGCATGCATAGATGTGAGCATCGGCTCTTTGAACAGAATCTCCTCATCGGAGTCTTCATCTGGCTTGTCCTTATCTTCATAGCCTTGCTTAATGGCAGATTTGAGATGATCCTTGAGAAGCTCGTTGACATACTTCTCATCTTCGATGGGGTCGTTGGACAATGAGCTCTTCTTCTTCCGTGATGGGTACAGGATCCACCTCGGTGTCACCCTCTTTTGGCATCTCAGTGGTGACAGAGACGAACTCCATGCCCGGAGTTGTGACTGGGGCCTGATTGTTTCCATCTCGGCCATCCGTCCCCGGAGGCGAATCAGCGCTGGGCGCAAATGCGTCATCGATCTCAATGACCTCTGGCTCACCTGCATCCGGCATAGGCTGATCAGCCGCGGACGAGTCAGGCGCGATCTGAACATCCTGACCTTCGTCATAGAAATCCGGGCCAACGGTCCCCCTGACCTTCGTCATAGAAAGCGAGCACCGCAGTTCGCTTCAACAGGTCCTTCCAATTCCCGTCGT